GTACGTTTTACCGTATAAGGTAAGAAGAAATAAGATCATTCGAATTCGTACCGTATAAGGTTTGGGATAACGACGAGAGACAACGCGAATCAGAGAAAATTCTCCATCGTTGCACAACAGATATATAATTTTATGGTCAACGTACCACACGTATACATAACCACCACCATTACCATTACCACCACCACCATCATCATCATCATCACTACTACTATCAGCAACCCATTTATCGTAAAGAAATATTCCACGTTTCTACTTCGTTTTTGATGTATTTTGCATTTTACTTCAGGACCCTGTAATAAATAGACCCGTTTTGTTTGAATGAACAAAAATTCTTGATGAAAACAACAACAACAACAAAAAAAAGAAATAAATCTAGGACAATGATAATCATTTTTGACTAAATCAGCAAGTAAATGCGAAAAGAAGTTTCGAAGAATTTAAAAAGAAAATAAAAATAATAATAATAATAATAAATAAAAGTAATAAGAGAAGCGATCTTTAAACTTTCGTAGAGACATTACAAAATAATCTGCTGACAAATCTGTAATACGAGAGATGCATTTTTTTCTATCATCTTTCTCTTTGTCTCTTTGTTATACACGTTTCTGAGATTGTTGGGGAGTTGTTATTCGATGCTAAAAAAGAAGAAGAAGAAAAAATAATAATAATATGGTAAATGTTATAATACGAATTTGTGTTAATTCGACAGATGAATTTGATCCTTAGAGAATTAGTTCAAAAAAAAAAAAAAAAAACGTAGAAACAAATTTGTTGTCTACGAATGGGAAATAAGAGAAGAAATTCTTGTAAATCTACCATTGCCAGTAAACCGCCCCCCCCTCTCACCCCCACCTGTTTCCATCTTGTCCTTCTGCTCATCACTCTCTCTCTCTCTCTCTCTCTCTCTCTCTCTTTTTCTCTATCGTTCTTTCCCCATTCCACATCTTGGATCACGATTGCTGAATCAGTCAGGCGTGAGTCATCTACGAGAGCGCACTGACATTCTCGTCGTTCGTTTCTTCTCTCTCTCTCTCTCTCTCTCTCTCTCTCTCTTTCTTCCTTCCTTCTCTACAAAGTTAAAACTGAGAAAATTTTCAAGACACCCGCTGAGAATTAGCCGTTCGATTTTACCCTAGATAAATCACACGTTTATTTATAAAAACGAATAAATATGTGTGCACCATCATCATCATCATCATCACAAAACCCAGCGATGAATTGAACAAATAAACATTTAAATGTATCCCCTTTAAAAATGAAAATTATCAACATACACGTTGTTTTTGTCATACATTTGAATAAGTTAGTTGAGTTGACAATTGCTGAGTAAATTGCAGAACATTTGAATAAGTTAGTTGAATTGATAATTGTTGAGTAATTGCAGATTTGTTTCAAGATAAATAAGTCATTCGTACAATTAACAATTTTCAATAGAAATAATACAAATTTGATGACTACTCGTGGCTCGTGTTAATTCGTGCTCGATTCTGAGAGACATTTTCAAGTATTAAGCTTAACATTTGGAATAACGACTGTATAACTTATGATAAATCTTTCTTAATTACGACAGTAAGAATGTGGAATCAATTATCTGAAGAGATTATGATTATCACTGATTATTGTGTTTTCAGAACCATGTGTTATAATTTCTTTATTAAGAGAAACATTCAGCGAGACTTGTGATGCTTCAAATCAATGTTACCATTATTATTATTATTATTGTATGAATATTATTTTTGAATGGCACCAACGTGGTGCCATCGGACGCCATAGTGTCATTTTATATAAATAATACAATAACTATTATATTAATTCATTTATATTAAATAAAATTAAATAACAATGCAAATTAATCAATAGTTTTTCTTGAATAATCTGCAATTACTTAATTGTCAACGCAATATTACTAAACGCATTTAAAATTCATTGATTACATTCGACAAAAAGTAAATCTAATATTTAACAATAAATAAAATATGAATAAAAAAAGTATTTGTAAAAGATTTCTAATTGGAATGAACATTTATAAGTTTATCGATTAAATAGAACATTGACTTGATTCAAAGTTTTGACTCTACGTAAAATTGCACGATAGCTAAGAAACAAGATTGAATATCCTGTGTTAAGTATGAGAACACTCTCATATATATATATATATATATATATATACACACACACATATTTATGTATCATACATGGAAATACTTTCTTTTTATGAAGACAGCTGCATGCTTTGCTATCTTATCAGTTTGTACTATCACCGGAACGTGTTGCCTTCTTGCTCGTACATACGGTTTTTTAAGAAAAGAAATAAGAAAAAAATAAAAATAAAATAAATGTTATATGATAGAAGATTCTCCTTTTTTTTTTTCTCTCTCTCTCTCTCTTTCTCTTGCAAAACAATGTCCTCTAATCTCTTAAGGACAACTATTCTATAATATTACTGGTTCACTGAAGTGACTTTATAGAAAAGATTAGACAACGTTGATACAATGGTTACAATGTTATTTTGAATGTAGTATAATAATATGTAGAAAGAACGTAGAGAGAATATTAAAAAGTAATAAATGTAGTCAACATTATTATGTTGTTTTGCAACTTGTTGTAAATGGTTTTTTTTTTTTATAATCGTTTCCAAATTCTTTTACGAAATGATCGATCATTTAAAACTCACTTTTTGTAACGGGTGTTATTATATTTTTGTTATTCTTTCCATATGATGAAATTGTTTTCTTAAAACAATTTATAAATTGTTCAAACACTACGTGTTTGATTCGTTAGAATTATATGAATAGAAAGTTTAACACTAGATTTATCAATTGAGTCAAGTTGACTCCTTAAACATTTATAAACTATATAAATATTATTTTTTTAAAATATATTTTGATTTTTAGTTAATTAATATATACTTAAATATTAATTATATCATTTTACTCAATACTTCATTGAAACAATGTTTGTAAGTCACTAGAAAATAAACATTTGTAAATCTAGTGTTATTATTCTATCATAACTCGTATGTGATTTGACATTTTTCTACAAATGTAATATATTTGATGTTAGATATTGAGAAAAAATGACAAAATGTATTCCAAAATGACAATATTGAAAACTAATGACGGTGATTACGAATGCGTGTAATCGAACACGGTTAAAATTAGCATGAGTCACGATCTTTACAAGAAAAGTGAAGTAAGTGAAGTTTCTTATCGTATAACGATAAGAAATATATCCTTAAAAAAAAAAATAAAAAAAGGAATACACGTATGTAATACAGGAGGAGGGGCACTTGTTCGTTTGTATATAACAGAATCTCACTAAATTCTATATTCAATAGCCCCGCCCAATTTTCATTGGATGTATCGACGAATCGACGAAGAAGACATAACCAGAATTTCAATTTCGAAATCTCATTCAATCGGATTATTATAATAATAATAATAATAATAATTACATTTCATTTTTTAAATTAACAATTCATAAACAAAAATATCATAGATTTAGTTTTTAAATCTACGAATAAACGAATTACGAAATTTAAATTCTAGCGTAGTATCCGTCATTATTCAAATAATAACCAGAATTTCAATTGAAAAATCTCATTAATCGGATTATAATAATAATAATAATAATAATAATAATAATTACACATTCCATTTTTTTAAATTAATCATTCATAAACAAAAATATTATAGATTTAGTTTTTAAATCAACGAATGAACGAATTACAAAATTAGAATACTAGCGTAGTATCCGCCATTTTTCAAATAATTCAAAAACGAGGGAAAATGTTAAATTGGCGGTAAATTTAAAATTCAAACGAGACGTCATAGAGGATTTTCTCGTAAGAAATTCTTTTATTATTTCTGTCACTTTATTATCGTTCGAATATCATTTGAAAGTTTTACGTGATGTACCTTTAAAAGGGTCTTAGCTATTAAAATGACAGATCGTTGTTCGTTGTCACATCGTGCTCTTCAACAGATTTCATCTTTCTCTTTCTATCTCGTTCTTGCACATACCAGACGATGATAACCGACAACGAGCGTGAACCCACGGAATGAGAAAAAAGGGTTCGTCGTTCATTTAAACGAATGTTACTTGGCTCGTCGATTCGATCGATCCGTCTTAAAAGGTCGTGTACACGTTCTTATTTGTGATAGTATAGGTGAGTAGTGTAGTAAGAAAAAGAAGAAGACAAAAAAAGAAAGAGTAAAGAGATAGAAAAAGAGAACAAATAACTAGCGAGAGAAAGAAAAGAACAAAAAAAAAAGAAGAAGAAGAAGAAGAGTCTGTTGTCATTGTTAGAAGAAGCATCGACGAGACTCGTCGTGGGCGGTCCTCTCGGTAATTGGATATCTCCTGGCATTGGATGTATAAGCATTGAGAAAAAACACTTTCGATATTATTTCTTCCTAGATACCTCACTCTTTCTCTCTGCTAAAGGGTTAAAGAAAAGACGAGGAAAGAAAACAGATGGAAAGTTAATAGTAGTAGTATTAGTAGTAGTAGGTGTTGTACCTTGTACGCAGGAAACGCAGGAGAGGCGCGTTCGGTTACTACGACCAATGATAGCGACGTTTTAAACGGCATTTTTAAGGGGCGTTTTAACCGGCATAACGAAAACTCATCTTCTTTACGTGATTCGATTAAATTTCATTCCTCTTGCTTCGAGGATTAATTTTGATCGAAGAAAAGGACATCATCATCATCATATGTCGCATTTTACTATGTCGACCTATCTTTAGGCACGCACGAAATGGCTAACAACAAGTCAATTCTTTGAACAAGAAGGGGAAGGATGGAGAGAAAGAGAGAGAGAGAAAGAGAGAAAGAAAAAGAGAAGACGCTCGCGACCTCGTGGAGGTCGGTTACTTCTTCGATGTCGTTTGCCATTGAATAAAAGAAAGAAAAGAGTGATGCGACGAGAGTGTGCGAGTGTGGGTGAGAGAAAAAGATAGAAGATACATGTATATAAAATTGTAAAGTCTACTCACGTAAATGAGACCGGAGTAATAACGATCCTTTAGATTATGCAGGACGGAAGCCTCGTTGAGGCACGTGAGCTCTGCCATATCCTCGACCTTGTCGAACTTTGGCGGGTTCATCTTTTGGATGTCATCCTTGGCGACGTGGACGCGTTTGCCGGTCTCCGCGATTTCGACTTCGACTTCGTCGCCGCGTTCGCCTTTGATACCGGCGGCAACGAAGCCCTGAGTTTCGTGAGGCACCCAAACCAATTTCTTTTGCGTCCATTCCGCCTGGGTAGCTGGATCATTGAAACTGTTTCTGTCCACTGACAAGTATCTCAATTCCGGATCCGACCGGTCTACCCTCGAATCTATATCCGCCATCTTTGTTTGGTAGTAAGCGCGCACACAATGCGATCGAGCAAGTACGCCTCTCTCTCTTTTTATTTATTTTCTTTATCTTTCTTGTTAACTCCTTTACTCCTTTTATAATATATTTTAACTTGGTACGTGCACGAAACGACAACGACAACGACGCGACAACGACAACGACAATGACGGCGACGGTGACGGTGACGGCGGTGGCGGCGGCGGCGACGATCGCGACGATGATCACGATGATCACGACGACGACGACGACGACGACGACGACGACGACTACGAAGACGACTCTTTCCGAAGTTTGTCGATGTTCGTTAGGTAGGACACACACCGTACGCTCAAGCCCGTCAACGGGAGCGTCTGTCTCTCAACCCGTCGGCCTCCGTCTTCGAACACGGCTCGTTTTCCTTGGCCGTAGGTAGAGTGTCGGTGATAGCAGTAATGGTAGTAACAGAGGTACGACCGAATCGCACCGCATATGTAAGAAGACCCACCGGGGAGCGTGTTCACTTTCTAGCATACGTCGTTCCTCCTCTCTCTTTCTCTATTGCTATCTCTTCGTTCCTTTTCTTTCCCTTTCTCTCTCTCTCTTCTCTCTCTCTCTCCACCCTCTCCCCTCTTGTACGTTCGATAGCTCTCACTCGTATTCTTTCTCTCTCTCTCTCTCTCTCTCTCTCTCTCTCTATCTATCCTTCTTTCTTTCTTTCTCTTCGTTAATCTCAACACAACGCCGGCAACGACACAAACGACAAACTACGAATCAGCCCAGTTTTGGCTAGTCTTCGATACTGATCTCGGCCTTACCGTTTCCTACTGTCTCGATTCTCCAACCGAACGAGTCCTTCTACCGCGTGCTTCTACCTCCTTTCATCCTCCCACTCTATAGCTTTCATACTCCATCCCTCTTCCACCTCCCCATTTTCTCTACCGACATGCTCTCTTTCGCCGTTATCCCTACCAATTCTCCCCACCACGGTCTCTTTCTCTTGTATATACCCCTCCCGCTGCCCCTCCTTCTTCTTCTTCTTCTTCCTTTTCCACGTTCGTATTTACGTACGTACGTCGCGTCGTACGCACGCACTGCACGCACGCATGCACCTTTTTTACCCCCTCTCTCTCTCACACACTCACTCTCCCACCCTTTCACTGATTATCGTTAAATTTGAATCGTTTGCAGTTCCGAACAAAGCCACGTGGCATTCCCGACAGTTTCAACGGTAAAACATCGAGATTCTTACCTTCTGCTACGTTGTTAACGTCTTTTCGACAAATTATCTATCGTAGATGGCGCATGTGTCTCTCTCTCTCTCTCGGTACTACTCAAGACCAGAGTCTTTCATTCATAAAAATTCAACCAATGGCTGAACGATTTAAATGACGTCCAATTAGCGTTTTACATTTCATATTAGGTATTCTATGATTGGTCGACTTAAAACAAATGAACAATTACATAACATTGCTTTTCCTTGATTTAGTCACGTGTAGAATTTGCAAATTTTAAAATTTAAATTTGTAATCTACTTCATATATCATTCATCCAATCGTTGTAAATAATTATTTAAACTTGTATGTGTCAAAAAAAAAAAGCGGCATCTCTAGTAATAATTTAAAACAAGAGATTACTGACGTAATAGTTTAAGTAATCAAGTAAATCTTTTACTTCCTATCATTATTTAACAAGTGTATTGTGTGCTACGAAAGTTGGACGAATTAACTGTAAAAGTGTTTCTTTAACAAATAAACGTACAATAATGTCAGATATCGACAAAGGATACTGGTCTTTCGACGTTTCAAATAATGAAAATAAAGTAAGAAAATAATAATTCATTGAATAATTTATCGCGAAGTAAAAAAAAAAAAAAAATCGAATTTAATCGAATCAAATCGAATCGATGGAATTTTTATTTCAAGTGTTTATAACGCGGCACATTATAAGTATATTACTTATCAATTTTAATCGATAATCGTTTGATAACGTTATTTTAATATTTGATTTTTTTGTTTTTTTTTTTTTCAGTATAATGTCGTTGATTTACGAAGCGATACACTTACAAAACCAACTAAAGCTATGCGACTTGCTATGTTTAACGCTGAAGTAGGGGATGACGTTTACGAAGAAGATCCGACAGTAAAAAGTATTTTAAAAATGGTCGATATTTAAGAACACTTGTTAGATCATTATATTTATAAGTCGTTATTTTGTTGATATTTCAATTATTTTAGAATTAGAAGAAAAAGCTGCTATGTTGACCGGAAAAGAAGCTGCACTTTTTGTCACTTCCGGAACAATGGGAAATTTGATAGCTAGTTGGTATTTTTGTTTTTTATCATTAATTGGCCTCTAAAAAAAAAAAGAAAAAAAAAAAGAAAAAAAAATGCAGATCAATTGATATTAAAATATCAATTATTTATCGTTTCTTTACAGTATTGGTTCATTGCAATGAACGTAGTAGCGAAGCTTATTGTGGTGAAGATTCTCATACAATATTACACGAACAAGGTGGTGCTGCTCAATTAGGAGGTGTTTCTCTGTATCCCTTAGCAAATAATCCCGATGGGAGTTTCGATTTATCATTACTTCAAAATAAACTTCGCACAGATAGATTGCACGAGCCTACCTCGAAATTAGTGATAGTAGAAAATACGATCAATGGAAAAATCGTACCTCAAGATTGGATTATAGAATTGGCTGAATTCACCAAATGTCACAATCTTAAATTACATTTAGATGGAGCGAGAATATGGAATGCTGCAGTAGCATCTAACACGTCTGTCGAAGAACTGGTTTCTGTATTCGATTCGGTCACATTTTGTTTAAGTAAAGGATTGGGAGCTCCGATGGGTTCCTTATTATGCGGAGATGTAGACTTCATTCGTAAAGCAAGAAGAATACGAAAGGTTTTAGGTGGTGGTATGAGACAGGTTGGTATTATCGCGGCTGCTGGATTTGTATCTCTAGAAGAAATCGTACCATTGTTAAAGGAGGATCATAGAAAAGCAGCAATTTTAGCACGAGCAATCAATGATTTAAATTCCAAAATGTTTAACGTCGATGAGAAAACGGTACAAACGAATATAGTATTTGTAAATATAAATTCTAAATATATTACTTCGAAGATTTTTGTAGAAAGACTTGTTCAAGTTCAAGATGATGCGGAAGATGATCAAATAATAATCAAATGTTTGCCACTAACAAATACTACCGTTAGATTTGTCTTGTATCATGAAATAACTGAGACGATGTTGAAAGCGGCCATACGTAAAATCAGATATGTTATCAATCGTATGGAAGATGCAAATAAATCCTCGGCATAAATCTATAAAATAAATAATTAAATAACGTTCTAATATGTTGTAATATAAATATATGCATGTATATATATGTATATATCATAACATTAAATATATAGCAAAGTTTTTGGGTTTATATGATTTTATTACTTTTATGAGGATCCTCTTGTCCTGACAACAAAGACGAGATCTGACCATTCAATATAAACTGCTTTTGAAAATTTGAATAAAAGTACGCCGTTTAACGGGTGTACAATTTTAATTGGCTGACGAAATGATTCACGATATATAAGATTTCTCGGCCGATTCTTGTTCTCTTCTGTTAACTTTGGAATGCATCGTTCGTAGGTTCATCCTCATCCTCATCTTCTTCACCTTCACTCTCAAAGGTATTGTCAGGTATATCGTATAAACGAATCATAGGCTTATTAGGATCCTTCATAATCAAGTATTTTCCATCTTTCTGCTTCATACAAATATCAATAATACATCTTAATATGCCCCAAGCATTATCCATGTTCAAATTAATTTGAGTGGCAAATTCATTGGGTTTATACTGTTGGGTACCAAGGATTACATGTTTGCTAGAATCACGTACGATGGCACGTGAAACATATCCAAATTTCAATTGATCCGATCCGGCTAATATAGCTTGAACGGTCCACTTGGCTAACTTGCAAGCATTATTTCTAAGTTCATTAGCTAGTACTGCACCACGTTGAGTATCTAACTTATGACGCCACTCAACACCATTTGCAAGTTTAGAATCCCATTCGTTCAATGCTTTGATGGTTAAAAATTGTGTTTCGTTGTTCGGGCCTTGCATCACGGCGTCATGTTCACACCGAGCAACTAATACGATACCATTGTTAAGATCGAATTTTCTATAGCGATAAGCTACGCTAGCTACATCACTTTCTTCTTCTTCGGAAATGAATGGATTTCCTTCGTCGAACTTGTAACGTGGTTCATTTGATTTAAGCACCTGCTGGGAGAAATTATGATTGATAAAAGTTGCCTCTAATGCCAAATTTCTTGGCGAATTTAATGAATTTCCATCATCCTGCGGTGGTTCTACGCTAGTCTCGTTGACAGTTAAAAGATCGAATTCTGTATTATCTCGTTTGTCAAAGAACAACTTGTCTCCGATTTTTTCAATCACTATATCCCATGAATAATTGCTACGAGTGCAGCACATAATTGTAGCGAGTATCGCATCAGTTGCATAAACGTTGCCTTCGGTTTTTGATAATTTACGAATAATAGGATCATCGGTGGTAGTTACGGTATGGAAAATACGATCAATTCTTTGCAATGGTTTCTCATTTTTGACATTAACTCTGTCATAAGTCTTGTCATAATATTCTAATGATCCGCAACAGAGTATGTCCTCGCCATCTTTAACACTGGGCAATGACAGTTTGGCTAATCTTGGGAAATCCATTTCTTCTATGGTCACCCAATCCGGTCTTACGGTAACAGAAGCATCTCGAATCTTGATTGGTGGTTGATTTTTATGATTTCTCAATCCTTGTTGTCTACCCCAACGTTTAGTTTGTCCTTTGCGTTCGCGTTCGCGTAACTTTAGTTTACTAAGCTGTAGCATTTGACTCAATGCACCACGTTGACCTCCACGCCCACGCAAGTTACGCTGGTTGTGCCTGAACCTGCCACGTTGGTAAGGTGGTTTTTGCACTCTCGTTGTATCCACAAGATGGAAAGTACTTTCATCTTCGTCATGATAATAAGCATATTGACTTCCTGAGCCAAATTGAGAAGTATATTTGTCTGAAAAATATTAATAGTTTCAAATCATTGATATATTCATATCACAATGACAAAAACATTTCAATAATTAATATATTCTAGTGTCACGTCATTTTTATCAAGAATCAGAAAGATTTCTTAATAAATGATTATAATAAATAAAATAATAATACGAACTTGGAAATTTCTTATCTTGAAATGCTGGAGCAGTCCAATCGCAGATCTAAAGTTAAAAGAAAGGTTATGTAAAAAATTGATTATGACAATCAAGCAAATAAGACATATGTGTTATCTTACTTTTCCTAGCCTGTCTCCTTTGGAGAATGGTTGATAAGGGATATCCTTAAATTGATCGGGCAACTCGCATGGACCCCAACCATCAGGATTATGTTGTATTGCTGGTGCCTGGAAATGCGCTCTTTCCTCTTTATGATCGCAATCGTCCAATTCAACAACTTCGTCCATTGTAAATTGTTCGAATTAAATATCGGTTGTAATAACTTAACAAATTACACTTGGCATCGTGTTGCAAACGTTCACGGCGGAAAGACCGGTGCTGCCATTTTTATAAAATTACGATGACAACATGGCGACCACTTCCGTTCTCTTGTAAACTTCCTATAACGATATTACTAAAGTCAAATACACAATGAAACAAATTGAACAAAAATGTTATTTATAATTATTGATACGAAAAATAAATCTTATTGTTAATTAAATTTTAATAAATAAATAAATAAATAAATTATTACAAATTTAATTATTTAATTCGGTCAATAGAGAAGCAAAAGAAATTCAACCAATGAGAACATTGGATATCTAGGAACATTTATGGTTGCGATAGAAAACAGTTGAAGTCAATGTACGGTTTAAAATACTAACTAAATAAAAGTACTGTTGTTCTTTGATGGTTTCCAGGGAAACCATCTATACCATGTGTTCGAAAAATATTAACGTATTTGATTATATCGTCAAATTTATTTGACATCCATAGTACACACGTGGTACACAAACTCGTGGCCATTTTGATATTAACACGTGACAAGAGAGCTATATAATTAATGCTAAAACGCTGCACGTTTTATTTTGCATTATTTTGCAATTTGAAATATATATATATATATATATATACGTAAAAACTTATAATTATATTAACATCAAATTAACGTCACGAATAGTCCCACGAATGCTGACCGTAATAATGACGTCCATTAATTAAAAGCTATGACTTAGCATTAAAATTAATGAAGTATATTATTCAAAGGAATGATATAATTCTTGGAAAATATATATACATATATATATATATATATCTTGTAATTTATATAACTTGAAAATATTATTATCTTTAGTAAGTACTGACAAACTAACACATAAGTCGATTCGATGACGATCGAGTATTAGGTTAAAAAAGAAAAGTGATGCGTGGGCGGATCATAGTGTACGTTATATTTCAGTACTCATGACTCACGGCCAGGTGTTCACGATCTTCGTAGCCATCGTCGCTTATCCCTGCGTCATAATCGTAAAAGAGCGTTCCTTTGTCCATCGAGGGTCCGAGATACTTGACCTCAGGAAGTATATATACGTATACATATGTACACATATGTCTACTTAAAGTGTGTATAGCTGTAGAACAGCGGCAGATGAACTTTCGGTACCGGGTGCCCCAAAAAATTAACAACGAATATTGACAAATGTCAATTTTTATTATTAAACAAATTATTTTCTTTCAGAACAATACTTGAAGTAACGTGTTGTACTAATTGGATTAATGGATTAAAGAAACAATTTGTTTTCTTTTTTACACAGTCAAAGAAAAATTAATTACAAATGTTGTAAGAAAGAAAAAAGAAATTTGTAATTAGTACATATGATGTTAAATAATTGTATAGGAAAGATGTTAGCAAGTGTATAATATGAAAAAGAAACGCTTTAAAAGACAGCTGTCTGAAGCAATTTGTTGTCCATAAAACTAATGGGGAGCATACAGTAGTGGTGCTCTAAGAAAGGCTGTCTCGTATTTCTTTTCGAAAGCAACGGTTCCCCAGAAAGATTCACAGAAAGAGAGGTGGTCGTACCAAAGAATTTAATCGAAGAGAGACGGAAATGGACAGATGGTTGGCGAGATCCTGTGATACCAAGCAAACAACCGGGTGGGCACCTGGATCGTTGGACCGTAGAAAGAGAAAGAGCTCGAGTAAAATATAACATTGCAAACATAACTACAATTTATATATACGTACGTTGGTTGTTGATACGAATAACTGATAATCTTTTGATCCTTTTTAATTATCAACAAAATATTATCCAAATAAAAAGAAGAAGAAGAAGAAGAAGAAGAAGAAGAAGAAGAAGAAGAAGAGTAAAACATTCGTTGAAAAAATATGGGTTTATAAAAATATCTTCTAAGTACGCGAATTCGATGAAATAAAATCTATAAGTTGGTATATAGTTGATTATATAAGAAACGAGTACACAGGAAGGCCTTAACTAGGCTAATGTCTTCTCAAAATATCACGAAGGACTCTCGTGCGCTTAGCACGTGCGTGATATATTCTACATTTGTATGTATGTACGTTAATAATACCGAGTATGACTTTGAAAAGAATGATCGTATAGATTTGATGAAATAGTTTGTATCAAAGGTAAAGAAAGAGAGAGAAAGAGAGAGAGAGAGAGACTAAAATTTCACATATGAGAGACATGTATGCGTGCATATACGTAGTATCGGTAATATAATAGGACCGAAGTGTAGAAACATGCGGTTTGGAGCGCTCGTAAAGTATTTCCCTGCACGTACGTACCATCGAAAGAAACTAACCTTCCAGATAATACACTCTGACTGTGGCTACGTATACGTATACTTTCGTGAAAGGAACTCAAGTATATTGTGTGCACGCGACGAGCTGGATTCTTATGGGTACCGATCACGAGCCGATCTATACTTAGAAACGGGCGAGAATAACGTGGCTTAGATACGCGGAACTCTCTTGTCTTTTTCAGCCCACCCTCCTACAGCTCGTGTTCCTCATCCTCAACACTCAAATTTTATCTCCTTTTATTTTTGTTTTTTTTTTTTTTAAACCACGAGAAATCTTTCTTCCTAACTTAACAGCTCGCATTAAAGGGGAATTCGAGGGATTCGATCATCCTCTTATATTCCAGACTGACCGGTCGGAAGAAGACCGGACACGATTCTTTACATCCTCTTTCAAAGGATCTTTCTTACGAATGTGAATATCACATGTGATATGTAACATACATACTCGAAATATCTTCTTACCTTTTTTTTAACCATATACTTGATACTATATATATATATATACACCTACGTATTATTAATACATTTACAGTTTTCTTACGAAGAATTGTAAAAAAGAAAAGATATAAAGGAACAAAAGAAATCATCTTTCATTGGAAAACATAATCCATGTAGGAGGACAGCACGTCATTCCCATTGCATCGTTTAAACGATCACGAAATAGCCATTTATACATTATACTTTCAGCAACACGCCATTACTGGTTAGAGTGAAAGTACTTCCCAGAACATTATTTTCTACAGCACGTCTACCATTATTGGGATCATTACTATTCTGTTTAATGTATGACTTTCAGTACTATCGATTCACTAGACCGAGAAAACCTTGAAATTAAATTCTTGGTAAAGACTGAGCGAGAAGGATGATGATAATGATAATGATAATAATGATAATGATAATAATGATGATGATAATAATGATGATGATGATTGCAGATGGACGTTCGAAGAGAAATCGCTACTTCCATACTTCGATTAACTCTTATACAATACGATATTTACCTCATGAACTATTTCCAATTAATATATGTGTGTTGTGTAAAGGTAATTTAATTCACCAAAGATAAAATGAATTTAATAACAAAAGAAAGACGAGGAGGAGGAGGAGGAGGAGGAGGATACAGGGTCTTTTTAAAAAGACTTAACATCGTTCGATTTCACGTGAAATCATTGACGTTCCTCTGGATATCGTAACACAAATGGGATCAGAGAAGAAATAGAGAAGAAATGGAGAAAGAGAAATAAGGATGGGTGGCTTGTTGCCCGTACCGCTACAAAATAGTGTGGTGTATACATACGCGAGTTCCGCAGAGATATAGGGGAACGATGACGCGATGCTCGCAAGTTCGTACGTAAACCAGTTAGGCGGAATCCACTTTTCCCTGAGGCATAAACCTTTTCGCCTAAACGCGGGTATACGGGAGAGAGAGGGAGAGAGAGAAAGAAGGTGGGGAGAAAAGGAAAGAAAGATAGCCTTCGGCCCCGGCATACTCGCCAACGGCAACGGCATCGGCATCGGCGTCGGCGGCAGCAATAAACCCAAGTTTCTCAGACCTCATCGAGCCACTGTCCCGCTTTCCACGATTTCCCTCACCGTCTCGTTCGTTCAATCGTACTATCGTACTTCATCCCCACTTTATCCCCACTCCTTCCCTATTACATCCCCACTATATCTACTTTACCGCCGCGTGCGGCCGCGTCTGTAATTATATATTCATTCAATGGAGTCAGTCTGTCAGTTACTCGTGGAGAATCCTCGCGGTGTAGAACTTTAGTAACTTCAGTTTTTTCTTTATTTCTTTATTTCATCTTATGAATTATTCGTGACGTTTAAAACTATCTTAATTATTTCCTTTATATTTATCCTATATAGTTTCCTATTTCTCTGAGGTTTATTTTTTTATCTTTTTCTTCTTCTTCTTCTTCTTCTTCTTCTTCTTTCCCTCTCCCAACAGCAGCCAGTTTACCTTTCCATTCTCTCATTCGTCGAACTTGACGTACTTCGGAGAAACGGAAATAAAAGGAAGTCGTGTTACAATATATCTTAAGAAAACGATTCTTTATATTTTTAACAGACCCTCTTAAAAGATTTATACCTGAGAAACTTTCTTTCTGTCAACGTACGTTTGGTGTTCCTACTGAAAGTGTCCGACAGTGATGTGTAACCCTCATCGACGTTGTTCCCAGTACAGTATAACGATTCTTGGAAAAGGTGAAAGCAATTATGAACGTGCGAGCCAAATGTATTTCGAGGAAATTTCTTTGAGAATTTCTCCTTGAGAATCGTCCCAGCTTTCTTCTTCATCATCATCATCATCATCATCTACTTATTCTTCTTTTTCGTTCGTTCAGTTTCTGAATGTCCTCTGTGAGGAACACGAGTCCTGTACGAGACATTGATTTAACAAATAATTGGTAAGAAAATAAAATCAAACTATTTATATAAATAATGTAGTGAACTTTAATATCTGTTATATATATATATATATTTTTTTTCAACCATATAAATTTTCTTGATAAACAATTAAAAATTCCTTTTGTTTAACAGTATATATATATATTATATTAAAATATGCAATGTGAAGTGTTGAATAAAATGTGCATTATTAGTCAAAATGTAGATAATCTCTTTATCAAAGTAGTAATTCTTTTTGTTCTTATATCACTCTTGAAAAATTGCATATTTGTTATTGTTCATTGTGATAAATAATAGTTACAAATATTTAAAGATATACTCGTTATTAGTGTTCAGTTTATTTACAAGTCTCTTGAAGATCATAGATTACGTATTGGATATGTTTGTGGTATTGTGTTGACTATGGAAGTCCTAACCTCAATGTAGATACATTTCTTAGTTGAAAAACTTGTGTGAATATAAAAGATATTAAAGTTTTGTCTATATAAAAATTTATTTTATAATTCAGTGCATGCAACTAAACAAAATGATGAATTCATTCTTAAATCAGTATAATCAATTCTTATTTATTAGTATAATATTCTATTTGCTTACTCAGTTTCATTTGTCTCATGATTTCTGAAAACATATGACTATGGAAAGTATGTAAATAATGATTATAGAAAACTATATTTAAATTAGTTAGAATAACCTCGTAAAATTATAAAAGTGATTAAAATTGAATATTTTATTTATTTATTAGATTTCATTTAGCTTAACCTAAAATAAAATATGTTTTCCATTATAATTGAATAACTTGAAATAATATTTCCTTTTTAAAATAAAAATAAATAAAAAACTATGTTATATACATAGATTACATAAATAGTATATAATACAACAATAGATCATAAAGAACAATCAATTTATGACCATTTAACATTATAGAATATTATACCACTGTAATAACTAACCTAATCACTTTAACGTATGTATGTTGATGATTTGTTGGGATGCCAATTGAAATGCAAAAATGTTTCATTCCGTTAGAATCGATGATAGAAATGAAGCGGAACATGGAGACAATAAAGAACGAGTCAACTTTTACGTAATAATACCAAGAATACCGATCGTAATTCTTTTCTCGTTATTTATTAGTTTCACACTGGTGGTCGTGAAAATCGTTAGCAATAGTTTACTCTTGGAAAAGCTAATACCACCACCACCAGAGTCGTTTTCTTACTCTTCTTGTTCACATTTCCAAGAGAGATACTATTATTATTTCTTATTTACAATCGTAAACGATCAAATTTACAAGATAATTAAATGAACTTATAAAATCAAAAAACAAGATAAAAGAAAAAAGATAAGTGTGTAGCAGTGTCGTGTATGTGTGTGTTTGTGTGATATGTTTCAAGGTTGACAGAATGTGGCTTCTGTTGAAGGACAAGTAAAGCAGTGTATTACTAGGAAGTTATACGTGTTTTGTGATTGACCGAATACCCTCTCCCTCCCCCACCACCGCCGCCATCTTTTTTCTATAAATTTGAAATCGTTAAATTTATGAAGCTTAATTTTATTACAACCTAACCTTAATCTTTTCGTTTTGACAGTATGACAAAAAAATCATTTGCATTTGATCTGCTTTTTATTTTTATTAACACTCAATATTGTTTCTTTATTTCTCTTCCCTCTTTTATTACAGTTGTATATCCAATAAATATTCATTAGGTCGAGGAATTTTTTTTGTCCAATCGAAAACGGCCACTCGAATTCTCGGTAAACGAATCCCGGTTACACCGTTACTTGAATTTATTAAGTTCTACGCCGATCGTTTTTGGGATTTGCATACGAAAGTACTTTGTGTGACGTATATGCACATGCGTGCATATAAGTATTTACACGTGAATTTGTATCTCTGCTGTGTATGTGTATGTGTGTGTAAGATGAATCGGATCGACGTGAGTGAAATGATGAAAATGACGATTGACCAGGAAGGATACGAATTGTAGTCCTCTTTGTTATTCTCTTTTGTATTTTCTTTTGTAAATTTCATTGTAAATGAGGTTAGAAGAGTTAGCAGTAAATCCTTGTAACTACAGTTTGAAAAATAACGTTTGTTGAGTTTCAACAACACCGGGGGGGGGGTGTTGACGGGCCCTCGTCAATACGGGGGACAATTTTGGGGTCTCTCGTAAACGAGAGAGAATAAATAATATTACAACATGCTTGTTTGTTTGTTTGTTTGTTTGTTTGTTTATATGTAAAATAGGTGACATTCTTGTTAAATGAACCCATTTGATAATATTATCAATGTCTCTCTCTTTCTCTCTCTCTCTCTCTCTCTCTCTCTCTCTCGGAAACGCATACACGCGCACACATTGTGTTGGATTACGCAACGTTTAGCCTGAAATCGTCATTACCGTTGTTGCCTTTACAAAGATTATAAGCCACTAAGGATTTCGTAGAATCGATTACACTAAATGGATTCTTATGAACCTTATCAAACCAGTTCGTTAGTATTTCTTTCGGATATTCATTGATGTTACAAAGCTAATTTGAAATGCTTTAGTTTCTCGGAAGCACAAGCCCGAAAACTTGCTTTTAATTTTTTTTTTTTTTTATTTTTATCATTCTTTTTTTTAATTCCCCCTCCCCAACCCCACTTAAAGATAAATTTAGCGAGAGCGTATAAAAGATAAGAAGGAAGAAACAGTTAAATGTAGATAGAAACGAAAATATATATAGTAGCTTGAAAGAAAAATTTCAACGATTTGATTCGAGTCACTCAAAATCAAATTTCCTTTTGGACAACGGTGAGATATTTTTATTGACTAAAAAATAACTGGAGAGTGTGTGTAATATTTTACCAACTGACGTTGGATATTATTTTCTAGAGTGGGCGGCTTGCTTTTCTTTTTTTCTTTGTTTTTTTTTTTTCTTTTCTTTTTCGTGGAATAAGTGGGTGGTTTGTATTTATTCGCTCTTACATATGTGTACGTCATTTTATACTTGCATTCTTTTAACTTCTCCTACTATATTTGCTTGTAAACGTAACGAGCAGCCAAACAACCAACAACAACAACAACAACACACACACACAATTTCTAAGTCGTCTATTGGTGGGGTAGGTAAAATACCGAGAAAAAAAAAAGAAAGACGATTTTCCTTGGAAGACTAATAATAATAATATCTAATAATATACGTCGACTTCGTTCTAACGTTACGCACAATGGCTCATTATTCTATTATTATGTTGATAATAGGGACGAATCCAAGGTGTTGTCGTAGTCTCTCCCACTCTCCTCATTCTTTCATTCTTTCATTCTTTCTTTATTTATTTATTTATTTCCTTCCTTTTTCAATATGTATGCAACCCACTAAAGCTTGTATGCATGCATGCCATACCAAACCAAACCAAACCAAACCAAGCCATGCCATGATGCGAATAAGAGCCTAAGTATTTACGTTAGGTGTTGCACACTGTGTGCAACAAGGAAGAAAGAAAGAGGACCATCCTCCCTTCTTCATCCCTCCTCCTCCTCCTCTTCATCCTCCTCCTCCTCCTTCTTAGGATGTTGCCTCTCATTCACGGGACATGCGTGTGTCTCCTTTGACGATGACGTCGCGAGTCTCCTCTTCCATATGGCTTTGCGAAATAACAAAAAGAGATGATGAGTGTTGGATGCGCGCGCATCGCTAGTCAAAAAGAATCAAAACAACAACTATGAAAATGAGAGAGAGAGAGAGAGAGAGAATAAATAATACAACTAGAAAATATAAGTACGAGGTGAAAGAGTTCGTTGAGCGAACAAGAGAAACGGAATTTATCTCTTTGTAGTGGTAGTAAAAACGTCATTATGCAATCTTTTTATTTTTTTGTAAGATAAAACATGAAAAATATTCCTCTTACGTGTATTTACCTTATACAGTTTTTATATACATACATATATATGTATAATATATGTGCATGTATATCTACAAGATAATTTAAACCCATTAAATTTAGTGATTATCTTGAAAAAAAAAGAAAAAGAAAATAAAAGAACAGAAAATTCATGCATTATCGTTAATAATAACATTGTTTTCGAAATATTTTGATTTACGTCTAGCACAAAGTTATTATTATTTTCATCGTTTAATCTCTCCCTCTAAGTATATATATATATATATATATATATATATGCTCGATTAAAAAATAAAAAATAAAAAAACTACAAAATTGTAATATCGGTTTTCGTCTCTCGATAGATAGAAGAGGTCTCGAATAAATGGAAATCCAAACCCTTCATTATCCCGAAGGATAAGAAAGTAGGCTTGTATGTTATATACATTGTTTACTTTTTCCTTTTTTATCCCCCTATATATATATATATATATATCTTTCTCACTCGTTCACTCATATGAATCCAATTTAATCGGACACTTATTGAGACCGCACGAAAATAAATGCCAAGTCGAGAGAGTCTGGTATGACGAAACTCGTCTGAGTATGCGCTAGTGAATCCTATTATCGTCTAACGACACGACTATGTCACGCGCATACACACACACACAGAGAGACACGTGTTTTATTTTAAAAATTCGACGAGCGTCGCGGCGCTACGCGAATGGCGCCAAAAATAAATTCTTATTTTCTTCTTAATAAACACGCATTTAGATTCTACGAGGCGACAGATTTAACGAATATAAGAAGAAGATAGATAGATATATAGATGAATAGGTGTAGTAGTTGCTTAGATAGTAGTAGTAGTAGTAGTCAAACTTACATTAATATGAGGTATGTGTTTAAGTAGAAGGAGGGGTAGTAGGCATAGCAGTTCCTCGAATTTCATTCCTTTCCTCATCTCTTGGGTGCGTCTCGGAGAGTTGGTCCGTTTAAAAAAAAAAAAAAAAGGCCCTTCTCTCGATATTCCGAATGCGTCGGAGATGAACGATCGCAAGGTCGCTGCTAGCAGTAGAAGAAGATTGGAATGAGAGGAGGAGGAGGAGGAGGAGGAGGAGGGTAAAAGAAGAACGT